CACATGTTTTCTAGTGTGAACTGTCAGTGGTGCTCCTTTCACTGCAGGAATGTTTCTTAAAGCCTCACAGGCTATGAGTGAGTGAACATATTTCCGTTTTCAACATGAACTTTTTGTAACAGTTGTTTTTAAAAAATTAAGACAAGACTTGTCTTGGCTCAGCTGTAGCTTTTGTTGCTCCTCAGGTTAACAAAAGAATGATCCTTTACCTGTGTATTTTTTTGTCAACTTCAATTCCCATTTTAATCATATGGGTTATAAATAGATCAGAACATTATTTTGCATTTAATATCAGGAACTGGAAATGTTGGGGTCTCTTTTTGAGGTTTTTAGATGAGATTTGTCAGAAATTGATAAAGGAACGTAATGTTAACAAAAAGGATTCTAAATCTAACTTAAGGGTCGTATTTCATAAGGGACCAGCAGTGACAGCCAAGGGAAATATTTTATCTTCATCTCCATGTTGAAATGGTTCCTCTGTTTCAGGGGAACTCTTGAAACAGAAAATGGCTACAGAAGCAGGTGAAAGATGGTGTTTGCTCTGTGAAAAATAAGATAAAGTAAACATTCTTCATCATTTGCTGGTGTTTGTTTTCTCCCTTTAACAACACTGTCCTCATGGTTAATTTAGCAATGTACAGATTATGCTAAAACAAATGGCCTACCTTTGCTGCAGAATCTTAGTTCTACATCTATGTCAAGTATAGTCATGATGCAGTCCAGGGGCAGGCTATTGAAATAATTATTTTTAAAAATGAAGATACTTTAATCCCTCTGCTGTGTTCCAGAGGCAGGTTAAATATATACTCTGTATACTTATTTGTGTCGGGTAAAAGACTTGATGTGCTTTATCTCTGGACTGTGTTAACTGCCTGAGTTGGTTTCGGTCACCACTTTATATTGCAGCTCTTGGCCATTCCCTGTTGAAGAGCTCGTGGCTTGTCCCTCAAGTTACACATATTCATTCTAATATTTCAGTTGATTTTATTCTTCCAAATCTTATGCATGTTCTGATCTTGTCCTCCAAAATGTTAGTATTTCCTATTTGTGTGATCATTTGTATGTTGTGATGGCCAATCCGCTGATTAGGTTTTCAGAAAAAAGGTCTGATAAGCTCTCAGTTGTTCAACCTTCCTATCTATAAACAACCCTTTGTTGTTACTTAGCCAGATATTTTACTAATGACAATCTTTTCACCTTCCACTAATAAATTAAGCAGACACTATATCAGATGCTGAACACCAGATAAATGAGAGAGAGAAATTTTCTAAGCAAATGAAGTGCAGGATATTGTGTTAATAGAAACAATAAACCATAAATTTAGTGTAATATCTGTGGCAGAGCTATACTGTCATCATCTTGTGTTCTGCTGTATTCAAAACTTGTTTGAAGCACTTTTTATGCTTCTGGCCAAAGACTGTCATACTGGTTTGTTCTCCAGCTGAGGTTTTGGTATTTTTCTTACAAACAAATTCTACATTTGCTGTTCTCCAATAGTAGCAGTAGGTATTTGGTCATCTCAAATGGCCTGTTAATCTCTGTAATTAAAAATAGAGATTTACCATTTGCTTCCACATCAGCTGAGAGGACTTTATATAAGCTGATTTGTCATTACTCATCTGTGGTCATGTATCTATCTTGTCTTTGTTCCAAGGGGTTGTGCTGCTGACGTGCATTAATGTTGAAGTGAGAAGTTCAGCCCATATTCATCTCTAGCTCTAGTCACTGTTCTGCTTGTAATCACTCCCCACCCTTTTACACATCCAAATCTTCAGTCTCTGGTTTAATTTCCAATGGTTTATCAGTGGTCTCCTTTTGAAATTGGCAGTCCAGTTCTAGAGCCCTAATGTTTAGAGTCATGTTTGACACAAAACTCTGACCATAAATACTAAACACTTAATAAGACCAATTCATCTAAAGTTGGTTGTTATTTATAAAAAATCAAGTCTAAAATCTGGAGTATTGCCCTTATGCACAGCAAATTTGTTCATAGACTGACTATATGACTGTTCCTCAGCATTCATAAGCAGATGGACCTTATGCCAGTCTTTTCCATATATACTTTCACCTTAATGCACACTAAGTCCTATTTCTTTTTCCCTTCTTCTGTTCTGTTTCCTGCAACTGGTCAAAAATTATGAAAAGTTGAGATATCTTAACATTAGGATTCCCTGCTCATCTCAAATATAACTTTATTTGTTCATTGCATCTTTTTTTTTTCTTTTCTTTTTCTGTGCCTCAGCTTTTTTGGGGTTCTCCAGCAGTGTAAGAAGCAATAATATTTTTCTGTAGAAGAAGAAAAACTCTTTTTGTCTTTATCATTAGAAGTGGCCAAAATCTGTTGACTAACACTGGTCTAAATTATGGGACCTGCAAAAGGACAAGTATTTCTGTAATGTCCATAAAACTCACCCATTTTCAAAACAGACTAAACCAAATCTGCACTAGAATATTAGTGTAAAATCCAAATTAAAACAAATGGGGCTTGTAGTTAACACATCAATTACTGATTAAGAATTCTTTTGCCTTTTCAGCCCTGTTTAATACTTATAGTGAATCTGGGTCTTTGCTAAGGCTAATCAAAGCAAATTGCCAATTTTTTTGCTTGTGTGCACACATATGCTCTCTCTTAATTGCTTGGGGCTTACTTGAAAAGACACAAGGAGGAAGAAAATTACTTGTTCCAGGTGAAACTCCTGTCCTTGTGTACAATGAAAGATATCTAAAAGAGGAATAATGATTATGTACTTTATTTCTGCTGACAGGAATGTTGGAAATAAGTTTTTTCATTTTGGAACTTCTGGCAGTTTTTGTCTTTGGTTTGTGTCTACGATTTGCTGCAGGTGGTATAAAAATAGGCAAATAGGAGATAGTAATATGCAAAGTACAGCAGCAAGAACTGTGGGGCAAAGACTGAAATTTCTGTTGAATTTTGTTTATGAATTTTAATGAAGCCTTGCTGAAAATGCAGTTCTTTGTCCAGTTCCCATTTAATCATCTGACGACTTTGATTAAGACGCAGTGCTGTGATCAGACCTAACGTGAATTTTACTTTGAGAAGTTAAAAACCCCATCACTGTGTTCTACAGCTTCCTTAATACATGTGCCTTTATAATGTGTATTTTGGTATCCCAAAAATAGGGTGGGTTTTGGCAGTTGCAGTAATTAGCAGGTAGAGCAGCAGACTCAGCAAAAGAAGTGGAAGACTGCATAAACATTCATGAAGTATTGAAGGATTTTTGTCTTTTTTAGTAAACTGCCAACTCTTACTTTTAATGAAGATTGAACAATATTGTAGTTTTTCTACACATAAAATATTCCAGCATATTAACTAGTTCTGTGCTTTGCAGTCACATTCATTAAATGTTTCAGACCAACTTGATGTGTATTAATTTGGACAAAGTGTATTCCCAGACCTTTGATTTTGAAAATAAATTTAATACAAGGACAACAACAAATCAATGAATAAACATGTGTAGGATAAGAAGCACAAAGAAAAATAATTATGTTCTCAGTTTAAACAAAATTCTGGCTTTGTATGTGAGTGTGAATTGCGAGAAGCTAATTTACTTATTTATTTTGCAGAAGCATAGTTGTTTAAGACTTTTAGGTGGAATGTAATTAAAACTGGTATTTCAGAGTCTTCTGCTGGTTGCTGCACTTGCTCTGCTCCCTTTCATCTTACACTGGGGAGAACTTTATGTATGTGTTCCATAGTGTATATATAATGGTTTAAGTTACATTGATGTATAATTTAAATTCATCATGTAGTTATACTGATGATCATCATGTAGAAATTTGAACCAGGTACTGTTTTAGGATTGCCATACTTTTTTATCAGCTCTGGATTTAGTCCAATAAACCTAAATGTAATAGGGAACCAGGACAAAATAGCTTATTCATTAATAAGCTGCTTTTAAACTTGAACATTTGAGAGCTTGAATGTGCATTTAACCTCCTACACTCTGTGTGAGTCAGAAGTTTTTTACCATAATGTAATTTTTTTGCATGAAGTAATGATCTTCCCACTCTGTGATGGGGAAATTTATATTAACTTGAAGTCTGAGAGACGTGAATAAAATGTCCACCTACCTGCTGAGTCTAGCCTATATTTTAGTTCTGGGTTATAACATAGATATGGGAACAGAAAGAGGCATTCATCAATAGTTTTGTAACCTTGCAGTTCCTTGACCTCTATTTCTCATGCTGCTGAATGCTACTATCAACTGTTATTAACAGACTGAAATGCAAAGGAATTTTAAGGCTGAAATATATAAAAAGAAGTAATTTTTCTACTCAGATTTCCGTAATGCACCATAAAGTCCAGCAATTTAAAGGCTGCAGGTTGGCTTGGCTATGAAAAAAAGCAGAAGAAAAAATTTAGCAGAAGTAAAATTCAGCTTTTAAGAAATTTTACACTGCATGATTCTCACCTCTTTGTTCTTGAATATTACTTGAACATCATCCATGGTTTGATGTTAGATGTGCAGTATATGTCATACATTGTATAGGTAATTTTTTTTTTCCCAAGGATTTAGTGAATCATGAGGTTGGGAGGCAGCACGTAAAATATTTACTGGGCTATGATATTGAACTTCCTGCCATTCAGTGTCATCAGATTTTCCATGTGCATTGATTAAATCAAAAAGAGATGACCTGTTTCCACTTCAGAAAAGTCTTAAAATATTTTAGCAGTGAAGCAGCAGTCATTCACCAGCAGCTGTCTATCTGCAAGCTGAAGATGTCATCAATAATGCAGAAGATAACATCTCCAAGTTGAAAGAACAGTAGGATTGGCATCAATTTTGCTTAATAGAGCATCATACACAAACTAGACAGTGATACCTGAAGCACTGACAGCATCCATTACCTTAAAATGTGCATGTCTCTTACTCAGAAGCATTATGTAAACTTGACAACATTTCTACTTTTTTTTTTTCTTTCCCAAGTGTCTGATTTCAATTGCACTGAGATTAATATGATTTTTCTACTATTCTCAGAGGGTGATGAGACAGGAGTGATGGACAGCCTGCTGGAGGCCTTGCAGTCAGGAGCAGCGTTCAGAGATCGCAGGAAACGAACACCAAGACCACAAGGTAAGAGGATGCTTTCTGTAAATTTTTACTTCAAAACCAAATGGGCCAAAGTTGCTTTGCAAAGGTTTATCAACAGTTCTCACTGAAACCCATTGGGCTGCTGTTGGGCATTGAGCTACCATGAAAACTCAGCATGCCCTTCGTGATCATGGATCGTTAACGTGTAGCTCTTTCTTCAGGCAGCTGTATGCTCTAAGATATGACAAGGGCTCCTGTTGTGACTGAAATGGTATTTAAATATTAGTGCACAAAGTATGTTTGTCTTAATTTTTCAAACCGTAAGTATAATTACTTTATTGTAGGTTGTGCCATGAAAAATATCAGCTTCTTAACAAATAGGATTTTGAGTGTTTAGCTGATCATCATTTTCAAGGACTGGTCTTAGGTATGTTCTGGTTTGGTAAGAAGTAACAGTATTTTTAGTCTTAAAAATAAAATTACATTAAGATGGCTTCACTTCCCTGTGGAAGACAATTGTATTGTACTGAATTTAGTCTGGTTTACTGAGCAACTGCTTCTTCCTGCGAAGTTGATTTTGAGAAAATATGAGAAGAAGTTAAGCAATGGCAAAATTTCTTCTGTTCACTTCTCTGCTTATGATATGCCAGTGACACACAGTTTGTGAAATACATTTAGTCTGCATTTACTTTTCACCAAAGCTTGTGGTAGTATACTGTCTTTTACAATTTTTCTTTTAAAATATGTCTTACAGTAAAAAAATACAGTCTTAAAAATATACAGTTGAAGTTATTTGGCATAAAATCAAAAGCTTGTGTTGAATATGTGCTTCTAAAGGTTTGGCAAAATGGACTCATCTTATAAATAAGCTGTGTTTATCCACCTAATCCTGAGTGAGCTGGGGTTAGATTCCTGTTGCCTGATGATGATTTTTCTTAGAGGAACAGAAAAGTAAAGGCAAATTTTACTACTCTCTTTAGCTAGCCAAGATAGTGAATAATTATTTTTAATTTGCCATATGCATGATCTTATGAGAAAAATAAAAATAAGACACTTAATTTGTTCATACTAAGAAATGAATTCTGCTACAGTTCCAATATCACTCTTAATTCAGAGCTTGTTTCTGCTCTCAGACCAGACGTGAAAGAACTCCTTGATCAAAATGTGGTTTTTTCCCTATCTTGAGAAATATCATTGTGAGAGATGGTTTATCTGTACTAGGACATGAGGAGAGATTTGTCACCAAGTGGTGACAAAGAAAAGCTTCCCAGGGACCAGAGGAGATTGCACAAAATCTGCTGCAGCTGAGAAAACCAAGAAGATGATTGAACCTGGGTCCAAAACCAGTGACTCCTGCAAGAATAGGGGACAGAGCTAATTAAAAATCCCTTTCATTGCCCTTCTGGTTTATGTAGTCACTTTGACTTCTGTGTTTGGAATTTCATTGTGTCAGTTGATATACTAGTGGGGTCTGGCTTTTAATTTAAAGCAGCTGATTGACTTTGGGGAACTTACTGTGAGAGAAGGATGAGGTCATCCATTTCCCAGCTCTGGCCACCTGTAAGTCTCCTGTAAGTGAAGAAGACCATTATGGAAAATATTTGGGGGTAGCTTAAAATTTAGCAAAGAGGCAATAAATGTGAGTCCCAGCCAAGTATCTGCTTTAAAGTTTTATGTAAGTCTTTTCATGTGCTTTAGGCACATACATGACATCTAATGAGTAATTTGTTTACACACCAGAAGATGTTTGAAAATGTAGCTGTGACATTTCTAGGCAGTGAACTATACCATTAAACAGCAGGGACCATTTTTACAAACTTCCACATCTCTCCTTCCAAAATGGAAGGGTCAATGGCAGTTTCCTCACTATGCCATCTAATAGAGTCTGAGTGTTCAGCAGAGTTTCATCCAGTGAGATTTTAGTAAACAGTTCACTCCAAGCCTCCTTTGGTTCAACAGAAGGAAGAAAAAGTAAATAAAAGCCATGGAAAGAAGAGGTTGGGGGATTTCTGGGCTTGCTGGGTCACATGGTTGCAAATGGTATGGTATAATAACTGTCTGTAAGTAGTGCACAATGTTGGAGTTTTCTCTAAGTTATTCAGAGCTTTCTGCATCCCCTCTGTGATCCACCTGAATTCAGAGCACACATGGGGAGGAAAAAATGAGAAAAGAAAGGTGCTGCTATTTCCAAATTTACACTTTTCCAGTAAAGTTTTGAGTTTGAACTTGTCTTGGTTTAGCCATCATGGTTTCAGAAGAAAAACTGTTGTTTTCTGCCTGTTTGGACACTGGTCTCATTTTTCTGTGTCAGCTGTGACTGGTACTTGAATTAGGACCAAAAACAACTTCTACTTGCTTACTTTGGAAGTTTTCTTAATTACTTGGTTACAGTTGGCCCCCACAGAAAGGCAAAAAAACACCCAAACAAACAAACCCCAAAACCCTAAAAAAAACCCACAAACAAGAAAATTACCCCCAAAAATGAAAATTTGGCTTTTGTTGTATTTCCTTCCAGTGGTTTCACAAAGTAGATTTCAAGGAGCAAACTGTAGTATCACTACCCTCCAGAAAAACCCCTGTGCAATGGCACATTCCCTGCTAGCTTTACATGAGTGGGTTGGACTTAGGAGGGTTCAATTAATTTGAATAACAGAGCTCCAGGTACTATAGACTGACAACTAGCCCAGAAGAGTGTCATTCTACCAATGAGACACCTGCTCAATTAGCCTGTTTTGCAGAGGTCACTGCTGGACCTTGTAGAATATATTTGTGCCATGTCTTTAAAATATTTAAAGATTCAGACACTGACTGGGTAAGTGGCAGAGACAGGGAGTGGTTCTCCATTTATGTAGAAATGACCACACTGCACAAGAGGGGACCACTCAATAGTACAGTTTTTCTGCAGGAAAAAAAAAAATATGGTGAGTTTTGAAAAATAAATCTCATTTGAAATGAGTTGAGCTGCATTATGTTTGTTTGCTAAGCCTGTAAATGAAAATCTATACTTTAATGAGTTGTATTACAACCATGGACTTTTCCAGTAAAAGTTGTTTTGTTATCAGGTCATGGAAGTAAATAGTAAAAAATTCCTGTCCCCTTCCTCTAGTTTCTCATTTCATTATATTCCTGTGCATTCTTTCTCATGTAGATTTTTCAGTGTGCTAAAAGTTTGTGTGGTTTTTATCTCCTAAGCTTGTTCCTGTATCTTTATTGTTTCTAGCTCCTGGCTTTTAAGTAGAGAGATTCTCCTTTCAGTAAATTGCTTTGCTTGTAGAGGCTCTACAAAAATATTTAGAAATAAGTTTCTAGAAATGTTTCTTCCTCTTCCAAAAATATACTTGGGTTCTGCAAGTTGGCCAGTATTGGCATAATAAAGAACAGTATTAGGTGGCATTTATCACAGGGTACCTCTTTAAAATGTGCATCCAGCATTACTGTTGCACAATTATCCCTGCCCTTTTTTCTGGCCTTGGGATATGAAATTATTAAAAGAAGATCAATTCAGGAATATTTTCTCTCTAAATTAGTTTAAACAAATTTCTGCATGGATTTAACTATTCTGTTAGGGTTCTTTCTGTTAAGCTTCTAAGTTTTTTGCTGGGTAATTTAATTTCTTTAAGAAATGTTAATGACTTGTGCCCTCTCCTATATATCCAGACTATCACAACCACACTGATACCATGTGCCATGATTTCTGCAGGTTGTCACTACTGGAAATGCTTTTAAAAAGTAGATACATATTACAATGAAATTCATTAGAATTCTAATAAAATGTTATATTTTCATAGACAGAGCTATTCTTAAAATGAAGGCTGACTTTCTCGTCTACCTTGCTAAACTAATTTTACCTTTGCATTGATTATATTAAATAAAATCTTTAGAGTTAGTTTGGTTTCTGAGTGCACAATCCTTATTTTCTAAACCACATTCAAATAAACATGTTCAAAGAGTATCTGCTTTACTGAAAGCATTGTGAGTCATTTTGTGACAGTTGTGTGAATAAGGTGATTTTTCACATTACCTCTGAATTGATGAGAATATTCTCAGTGTTAAAATGCAAAATGTTGTAGGTGCACTTGATTTGTGCTCAACTAAAATAATGTGTAAGTGGCCTTGTTTGTTGTCTTTCAGATTAACGGTGTCATCACCTTTAGCATTAAGTCTCTGTTATGAAGTTGGAAATATTCATAATGGACTATAAAACTGGTAGCCTCAGGTTTAAAAATCAGTATGTATGTTAAATTATTTTGTCATCTCTTCAAATATTTTTGCTTTGAGAAACTGAGTATTTAAAAGCATGTTTGTTACTTCAGTTGTGTCGTGGAGGGGTTTTGCTTACTGTCAAGTATTGTGGACTAATGAGACTTACACACGTGATCCAAGTGCTTCAAAATTACCACATCTCTAATAGCAACAGCTAAACAAGGATCACCAATAATAAACTTACTCATTTTACCATCACAGCATTATTGTGAGATTTAAGTTTGCTTTTATTTCTAAATATAAATATGGGTACCATTCAAATCAAGTCTCAGCAAATTACCTTGGTCCGGAGAGCTCCATAAACAGTCCCAAAGCTATTTAAAAACAGGTATTTGTGGTATAATCTATTTTTACAGTGTATGCATTTTGGCTTATGGTTTTTATAATTAAAGGAGTAGTGTTAGGTAATATATTTTTGGTAGCTTAGCATGAAAGAAACAGCTATAGAATGTGGAGGCTTTGACTCTGGAAGGTGTCTCTCCCCGTGACAAGGGGGTTGAAACTAGATGATTTTTAAGGTCTCTTTCAACCCAAACCCTTCTATGATTCTATGATGTTTCAGAGGAATTCAACTTACAAGCAGGATGAAGGAGAAGTGGTAAAAAAAGGGACTAAAACAAACTTTAGCCACCAGTCTGCTTAGACTGGATTCTCCAGGTTTTTAGATGGACAATACCTTTGAGCATGCAAGGAATGAAGAGGCTCTGGAAACACCTCATGAGCCAATAACTGGATGAACATAAAGACAGAAATTCAAGAATTCCATACATTTACATGAT